TTACAAAATGTTTGATTATTTAAATAATATTGTATTTCAGTAAATAAGATCAAAGATATGTTGCACATAGTTTAACCGATATCAATGAATTCGTTCTTTGAACATCACCAGGAGAGTTTTCTTCAATACAATGTCTTAGAACTGAAAATAATTCAAAAGCCAGACCAGAAAACTATCTAGCAAAACTTACATTGCAAAGTCATTATCGTATTAACTCATTATTTTAATACGGTGAAGACATTAGAGACAAGTACTTACCATGCTCGCTTACAAATCACTACTTAAATAAGTACTTACAAACAGGGAGTTAAAAAGTTGTTTTATTTTAGAAACCAAAAAATCGCTCACACAGAATACAAACTTGGGCTTCGTGTTCATTAGTTTGCTATTTCCTCACAACACCACTGCTTAGTTATTTTATTTTGCGCCAAATTATGTTTTTAATGCAGAAATAGAAATTTCCAAAAAAATATGCAAATAAAATGGCTAAAAGAGCACTTAAAAGTAATAGAGATGGTATGTTGTAGTCATTGAAAAGTAAGTGGTTATATAAGTACAAGCCATTACCGAGTTTAATGGATACTTATGTAAATACTTGTTTCTGTAAACTATTTGCTAGAATACTTCGACCTTTGAAATCGTCAAATTGACACAATTTCCCAAAACACAAAATGGATGGTTATATAGTAAGTATATAGACCAGTTCATAGAATACTTAGTCCATTGAGTAGTCTGTGGCATAGTTTATTGACTAGTCTGTGGAATAGTTAATAGTATACTGTTCCATAGACTATAATTTATGGTATACGCACAATTGGGACGAACGACGATCAAATTATCAAATCAAATTATTCGTTCTGCGAATTCGTTTCGAAATTTGTTTGTTCGAAATTGGAAAAAGTAAGAAAAAGGAACAAAAATTATATTTTTGTGAATCTCCACGGTTTTGAGATCACTTTAACTAACAGCTTTAAAATTTATTCGAACATTATTTCGAAATTAGAAAATGTAAGAAATTGGCCTCGAAAAGAACTAAAATTATATTTTTGAGATTATTTTAACAGCTTCAAAATTTTTTCGAACATTACTTTGAAGTTTCGAACTTAATTTTAAATGTTCCAACATAGCATTGTGGTGTCATCAAATGTACTCCAGACTACCAAATTTCAGATAATTCAGGCCACGAGAACTGGTTTTAATGGCTTTAACTTAAGTTCGAATTTTCGAAAATTTTATTTTTAGTTTTTATGACCCAGAGATTATTTTAAGGGCATAAAAAATTTTTCGAACATAACTTCGAATTTTCGACTACAATTTCGAATATTCGAACATAATATTGTATTGTCATTAGCTGTACTCACAACCGCCAAATTTCTGCAAATTCGGGCTACCGGAATTGGTCTTAAAACAATTTTCCCCAATTAATTCGTCGTTCGTCTGCGTAAGAAATAGAAATAAACCTATCGCATAGTTCGTTACGTACGACGAATTTCGTCATACGCAATGATTGTGTACATTTTCATATATCCAAGTGTGTTCTATTTCTGACGACGAATATTCGTTCCGAAAAATTCGTCGTTCGTCCCAATTGTGCGTATACTATTAGTCCATTCACTAGGCATCAATCTAGATCATAGTGTAACCAATGTCTACAGCAGTTTATCTTTTTTTTTTTTAATTACTGATATCCTCGTAAAGACAAAATCCTTTGGGTGGGTTTTTGTTTTTTGCCCAAATACTTATCATGTTGCTATTTTTGTTTATTATATTTTTCTTTTTTGTTTATCCTTTAATAAGGGTTTATCTATCCTTTTCTTGGAACTATAGCAACATTTAATTACTGTCAGTTATTATTGGGGAGAAAATATAAGTTTTGTCTTAAATTTAATTAATGTCATTTCTTATGTCAATTTAATATTTTTTTCTTAGCTTTAACATGGATTTTCTTTTAAGGTTGTTAAAATTATTTATTTTTAAAGGAAGAAGGAGAAGTTACTGTTAGGATTTAAATGTTAAAGTTGTGCAGCTTTAATACTCTTACTACTAAAAAAATACTAATTCCAAAATAATGCTAATAATATGAAGAGAAGTATTTTTATACTTCTACATCCAAGAATTTTCTAATTATTCTTATCACTATAACATCTGATACCTTAAACACAATATGAACCAACGAATACTACCTACTGCTGCAAATATGTACTATTAAAAACTACAATTACTTATTTGGTATTACACGAGTAAAAAATCTTTAAATAGCATAGCTGCTATACAATTCTATAAATTTAAACTAATTTACATTATATTTTTTTCTTGCCAATTAAATAAGTTTTCTGTATAAACTTTGTATAAATATTTTTTTTTTTATAATTTTACCAATCGAAAGTTTTCAGCATTAAACTATTTTCAGTTACTAATGAGGTTACTGAATTTCTTTAAAAAAAAAATATATTTTATTTACTCACTAAAATAAATAGTTTATATTTATATAATAAATTTAATATAAGTACATATTTAACATCTCTCAACTAAAATAGACTACATATCACAATTCCCTACTCATGCCAGAAGTTTGGAAGTGTAAGTAGTTTGTATGTAAAATAAAAATGAAGATTCATTGACACAAAAAATTATTGCATTTAAAAAAAGACTTTCTTCTTGTTTTAATCTTACTTTTAATTAATAAGTTTTTGAAAGAAGCTGAGCAAAAAAAAAAATAAATTACATTAAAATGTCTTTCATTTACTATGACTTCGAGTTGGATTTTCTTTTCGAATTTAATGAAATTTTTTATGTTTATCTTTTTGTACATTTTGAAGATTTTAAAAGGGTTGATGATAACGTTTGTTGCGGTAAAAAATAAGAAAAAAATTTTATCACAGATTTTAAATTCATAAGAAAAATTATTGGAAAATTCTCACTAACCTTATCGGGGAAACAGAGTTTCTGGAATTACCCCTTTCATATGGTCCATACCATAGATCGTGACATTTTTACGCCTGCAGAGTGGTATAGATTTTGTAAAAATAGCGGTACTTAAAAAATAGTTTTGCCATTTTGTTTGATTCATAATTGATACTATAATTGAAAAAAAACTCATGCCATTCGGAGCCTTGTTTTCCAAAATATGGAGTAAAATATGGAAAGAGTTTTGAGGTATTGATTTTGTCATTCCGTTTGTAACAAGTATATATATTCTGATTCCTAATTAAATTCTAAGACGATCTATCCATGTCTGTCCGTCCGTCCGTCCGTCTGTCTGTTGAAATCACAATAGAGTCCTAACGGAAAGATCTAGAAAGTTGGAATTTTCCACAAATATTTCTTATAGGTAAGGTTTGTTTGGCCATGAAAATGTGCCATGTCGGTCTACGTTTCCATAATTTACCCTACCCACCATATAAGGTGCCCTTCAGAAAATTAAATTAAAAAAAATTTAAGTTTCTAATAAAAAAAATAGATTTTTGGTAAAAAAATTATTGTTCTGAGATTTTTATCTATTTCGTTAATTGAAGCGTTATTTAAGCATTTACACTTGATTTTATGTTTCTTCTAAAAAATCTATTTTTTGTGAGAAAAATTAGTGATTACAGATTTGGATTTTAAAATCCCAGCAAAAACTCGGTAATATAACCACATACTTTTCAATGACTACTACATGCAGTCTGTATTACTTTTAATTATATAGAATCTGATACGTAAGTACTTTATTTTGAGCAAATGTTTTAACTCCCTATTTGTAAGTACTTATTTAAGTAGTGATTTGTAAGCGAGCGTAGTAAGTACTTGCCTTCAATATCATCACCGTGTTAAACTATTGAGTTAAAACTCTAATGAATAAGTGGTGAAAAGCGGCTTTTTAGCATTTTAACTCATTACTTTTCAATGTAAGTTTTAACTGGCATATTATATAAAAATCTATTTTTGATGAAAAATAAAAGATCTAAAAATTGGTTATCATAGATATTCACTATTTTCTAAATTGGAGAGTATTTATGTAAAGAAAGAAATATTTTAATTCAAAGGCTTAGTTCTTTGAGATAAAGTATACTTTTTTAGATATGCCCCTTAAATCCCTCTAAGTAAGCACAAAGCACTTAAAGAAATGAGCAAAAGAAAAAAACTTCCTTTTTGAAAAAAATTGGGGAAAAAGAAGTGTCAAATATTGCAAAAATCTTATTCTTCAGTTTCACCAATAGGTGAAAAGTTACACTAATTTGAAAAAACCCCGCATGACCAAAATGTCCAATTTTAACCCCCTCTAACTCAGGCAGTTCTTGACCGATAGAGCTAAACATTTGTATTTACTATCCAATAGTACTAACCTTGGTGCAAGTTTCATCCAAATCGATTTTTTGAGTTGAGTCACTTGGCACGAAATTGCTCATAGCAACAGTGGTCATAACACCAATTACTTTTGTAAGTTATCCCTTTACAAAAACAAATAAATTCGAAAATTTTTCCATGACTAACAGCAAACATAGATAAATGCTTAACATAAAAATCCATTAAAATTAAAATTTAATTATACCCTTATCTTAAAAAAGACAACTGATTAATTCGAATGGTAATTGTCTGCTAAAAAACATTAAAAAAATTACTTTAATTGTAAGAAAAATTCACTTTTTATAAAATAAATCGAAACACGTTTAAATTAAATATCATGTATCTCTTTGTGAATATTTTTCTGTCTTTATTTGGATAGTGTTTTAAATATAATAAATTGAAATATAGTTTTATTTAATACAAGTATATAGTAGTTTTACACAATAATTTTATTTAAATACAGTTATTTTGTTTTTGTATTTTTTAAATTTGTTTTTATACAATTTGCATTTAAATACAAAAAATTTATTTCCTTTCAATATATAAAAAATATGAATATTTTTTTTATTCATCAAATTGATTTATTTATAATAAAAAAGCTGAGGATTTATGTATGATTTATATTTGTACAATTTTTTAATTTTTTTTTTTTTTGGTTTTTTAAATTTTTCATTAAATATTGAATAAACATAAAAGTTTTTATAGAAAAATTAATTTAACTAGTAGAATAAAGTTATACATTTATTTACTTTGCTTTTTTTTTCCTGTTTAAATGCAAATAAATGTAGATGTCATCCATGGTTGTTCAGTTTATCCTTACATTTCCATGTCCATTTTCCAATACGAGTGTAAAATTTCTATGCACGAGTCCATCCAGCGAAATAAATATCAATAGTATATAGGTGTGTATCTAGTAAGTATTAGTACTTGTTTTAGTAGTGGTAGTAGTAGTAATTGTAATAGTATTGTTGTAGTTGTTGGCCATGGTTAATGCGATATAGTAGAAGAGGTGTTTGCTGCTGCTGCCTTGGGTTATTTTAATCGCATACTTGTGTTCTTTTACCTAAACGTGGCTTAAATTGTACAGACTTTTTCATGACACGAGGTAGATATTGTCGTGAGACTGCATAATCGTTGGCCATATTTAAAGCGCCATCAAAGTCATGTCCTGTAGTACTGGCAGCACCGGCATCAAACAGTTGAAAATCAATGCTGCGCCCCAGGCGTGGTGTACGTCTTGTGGGTAATTGACGTTCATTAGTTTGCACTACATTAAAGTGCATTTGTATAAAGAATTAAAACGAAGAAGGAAAGTATGGTAAAAGCGAATATATAAATATGTCATAGAAAAGGAAATAAAAAAAAATGGAAAATTGCACATAAAATATGCAAATTAATAAAGTAGAAGAAAGAAAAGTGTATTTATTTAACTTACACTGCTTTAGTTTCTGCAACAGCATAAAGTACAATAGTGGGGGCATATTTTCCAAATCCATTTCCTGTGACACTGGCATAATAGCATTGTCGCCCAGTTCTTCTATGAACTCATTAAAATCTTTATACTCAGCATTGCCAAAACCGTTAATACCACCACCACCTATGTTACCCAAATCAAGCTGTGAACGTTTTTGTCTTGTTTCGTAGCTGGCTTCACTCTGTAGCTGATGATGTGGTTGTTGCTGCTGTTGTTCGTGGGGCAATTCCACCTTTTTAGCAGCCTAAAATTGTTTTTGTTTTTTTTTTATTTTTTTGTATTTAGATAAAAAGATTGTTAGCTGGTGTGTGTTAAGTATGTTATTGCTGTTCTATTGTTAAATTAAGTTGTTGACAGAAAAAGTACATAAATATTTTAACTAGTGCGAAACGAGGGTAGTTGAGAAATTGATATGATTAGATCTTAAAATGCAATTATGTAAATGAAAATAGTTATAGATATGCTTGAGTTCGTTGTTTTACAGTTTTTCAGTAAAAAAAAGCTTTTTTTTTTTTGAAAAGCTTTTCTGAAAAAGTTCATCCCCTTGTTTTTGTCCTTATGTTTATAGCTTTAGTTTATTTTTTTATGGATTTTTTATTGCAGTTTTCTTGTAAACATAAAGCTTTTTGATGAAAATTGAATTGTTAAAAAAAGCTTTTTTAAAAATCAATTCTCTTTAGAAAAAGCTTTTTATTTGAAAGCATTTTCTTTTGTAATAACAATTCCTCACGTTGATTAAAAAGTGTTCCCTAACAACAATTTCTTTAGATAAACTTTTGTTTATGAAAAAGCTCTTCTGTAGAAGTTATTTTTTGTCGTAGAAAATATTTTTGTTTTTATTAAAAATAATGACTTATTAAAAAGTTATCTGCAATTTTTATTCCGTTTCTTCCAACAAATGTTTTTTGATAAAAACTTTTTTCATTTAAAAATGCTTTTTAAAAAAATCATTACAAAAAAAACTTGTGTACAGTATTTTTCTATCATAAAGCTTTTATTGTAAAAAGTAGAGAAATTTCTGGTAAAAAGCTTTATGATACAAACATACATTTGTTTAGAAATTCTTTCTTTCTTAATATATTACTACAATCCACATTCAGTTACTTTACACTCACACAAAATTTTTAATTTTTCTTCTCCATTAGCCTTTTGTAATTATATTATTAACTGTAAACTGCCTAAGTGTTAATTAATAGGAAATGCTAACAAAACTAACCACTTTTAACAAATAATTAATGAAAATTGTTATCAGGTGTTTATAGCAATTTATAAACAATTATACTCTAATGTCTGTAAAATTAAAGCCACAAAATCTCTTGAGAAAAGGCAACTACATACACGTGCAGTTAACTTCAACATGTTGCAAAATAAGTAATTTTTAATAAACTTATAAAACTTTAAATTAATCGAGAGCTTTAAGCAATTAAGACAATTTACAGAAAAGGTTTATTATAAAATAATTGCACTTAAATTAGAGATGTTCTTTAAAATGTTGTGCAATATTTGGCAAGCAATCAATAGGGGGTTTACTAAGAAATCAAAGGGGGTGAGGTGTGTATACTTTTACCAATACAACCACAATTGTAAGACATACACAAATTGCCCAGATTTTGCTTTTGAAATCACATGGGCTTGCAGCTGCATTAATTTGTAAAATATTTATTATTGGAAACTACAAATTTCTTTGCAATCTTTTATTAAATTCTTTTGAAATCTATTTTGATCTGCTATTCATTTATCGTAAGCTAAGTTAAAATTCTTGACAGTATTCTGTCTCATATAAGAAGTATTATATTTAACAAGAAATCATTAATAATTTACTATTTTATGCAATACTGTTTCTTTATTATATGTTCTTTTGCAAATATTACTAAATATTCCAAATATTAACAAAAATTCTAACAAATTTACCTTTTCGAATAACAAATACTACATTCAATTTAATGTACATTCTCGAATCATTACAAAACTTTACTCTCACACAAAAACTAATTTCTATTTCAAAATTTTATTACGATTTCTAAATAGATTTTAACTGTTTGAAATAGAATTCTAACCAAAATGAACAAATATTACCATTTACAAAGGGTAATTTTTTTTTTCTACAACATACACCCTTTTTTCTATGGTAATTGCTGGAAACTATAAACTTGTTGCTACACACAAAACTGTACACATCTTTTTGTATCTACAAAACTATTAGATACAGACTGACTCACACATTGTTAAAAATCTAATATTACAAAAATCTGTAATTGTCAGCAAAGTCAAGCCACAATACAATTCATTCCAAAAAAAATAGTTGAAATAGGACAATAAAAGCTACAAAATGCAGAAAATACAAAAATTGTTGCAGAAATTAAAATAGAAAAAGAAATTTTGTATGGAAGTGTTTGGTTGACAGAATTGTGTAATTGAACTTAATTTTGTAGAAGTTGGAGTCTAATGGAACCAGCTTTTTCACTTACAATTACTGATTATTATTACTTGATATAAGTCAGCTTTTTTATGGTAAATTATATAAGAAACACTCTGCAAAATTATGTTTAAAAAATCTAGCAAATTTTCTACTTTTTTTTATTTGAAAATAATATTAATGGAACCCATTAAAAAAAGCTTTTCTTGAGATAAAAAAGTCTTCCGCCAAAAATGCTTTTATTGTTATTATTTTTTTTAATTGAATTCCTTATTTTTAAAGTTTTTTTATAAAAAAGCTTTTCATATTTATTGTAAAAAAGAGCTTTTCTTTCAATCCAATTATCATAAAACAATTTTTATTGGGAAAGGTTTATAAAAGCTTTTTTCGTAATTTTTAACGAAAAGCTTTTCTTGAGATTAAATTTTATAAAGCTTTTAGCATAAATTTGAGCAATTTCTTTTTAATTTCGTAAAAAAATTTTTATGACAAAGCTTCTTTAAACATCAATTTCTTGTAGAAGTAGTTTTTAAGGAAAAAGCTTTTCATTTGAAAAAAAAAATTTATATAATGAAAAATTAATTATTCCTCACTAATTCTTTTAAAAACCATTTTTTAAATAATTTGTTTGTAAAAGTTTTTTGCAATAAAGCTTTTAATATGAACTCTTCTTTATTAATATTTTTCTTTAAAATTTTTACTCTCTTTAAAATAAATTATTATGGTTTTGTTAGATTTTTTTTTTGTTAAAAAGCTTTATTTTCTAATCCTATTTTACACAAAAAATATTATGATATGATTTTGCGAAGCTTTTTTATTTTAAATGAAAAGCTTTTTTGAGATCAAAAAGTTATTTGTATAAAAGCTTTTAAAGCGAGAAAAACTTTGCTTTTTATAAAAAAATGTTTAAAAAAGCTTTTATTTGTTATAAAAAAGTTAATTAAACTATAATTTAGAAAGCTTTTGTTGAAAGTTTTTATTGTAAAACCGAGCTTTTCTTCTAATCTCATTTTTTTATTATTATGAAACGTTTTTTAAAAGCTTTTAAAAAATATTAATGTAAAGCTTTTCTTGAGGTCAACAAAGATATTTGTGAAAAAGCTCTTAGTGCAAGAAAAATCTTTATACGAGAAAAACATTTGGTTTTTATAATAGAAATTATGTATGAAAGCTTTTATTTGTTATAAAAAACAAATTATAAAAAGAAAAAAGCTTAAAAAGGTAATTCCTACATATAGTGATAATTAGAAGTCTTAAACTTCATGTTTTTTTTAGTTTAAGATTAAACTATAATTTGGCTAGTTTAGTTGGTAACACTTATACTTTTATCACATTCTTTATTCTTTCGCTATCCCCTAAATGGCAAAATGCAAAGCTAGAACTTTAAGCAATAAAAACCCATTTTAAAAATTATTTCCTTGTACTTGATTCTTATTTTACACACATACGCTCCATATAGCCTAGAGACAATACTTAAATGTAGCATTTATGTTATTTTGAGGTTCAAGTTTGCAATACCAAGTATGCAAAAAAAAAACTTAGATTTAACAGTTTGTAAATGTACAATATGAGAAGTGTGATTGTGAGTTTGATATAAAACTTTCAAATAGAATGTCATAAGTATCATTTACTGTTATTTTATTTTCAGTTTTCCCCCTGTTGCTTTTCTGCTGCATTTAGGAATTCAGGTTTAGAAACCCATAGTCAGTTTTAAGTTTTTTTTTTATAAATTTGTTTAACACTCTTTAGGGAGAATACAATAAATATTCTTTGTTACAGAAGAAAGCAACATGTTACATTTTAGTTCTTTTATAAAAATTGTTAAAAAGTTATTTTTTCTGTAAATTGTTTAGTTAAAGCTAAGCGTTTATTAAGTTTTCAGAATTTCCTTGGCAACAGTAAATGTCACAGATTTTTAAAAATGCTTCAATGGTTTGGACATTTTCAAATGCTTAAATCTTTGGCAAACTGCAATTGTAATATTTTCGAATAATAAAAAAACTCGACTTTAATGCAACAGAAGAATCACTTAATTTAAGCAGCATATAATTAATTTCTTTTGAAGTAATTTAAAAGCAATGAATATGAAATTAAAAAAAAATCTGCTAAACTTAAAGACTTAAATAAAAATTTCTAGAAATGGTTAAGTTTATGTCTTTATGCCCTTCATGGTTTTTACATTTAAGACTTTTCTGTTGCTTCTGCTATTTGTTTATCTGAATACTTGTACTTTTCCTTATCAGAAATGGAAGAAAAAGAAAAATTTGCCATTTCAGCCTTAAAACTTACCTCGTTTCGGGTGGGTTTAGACATGCTTGTGGTGTAACAACAAAATGCGACTAGAACAAAAGTTAAACAACTTAAACCAGTCATGATAAAGCAAATATTCTGTCAGTTTTTGTTAAAGATATTTTCTGCAGCTGTTATTTAAAGAACCGCCTAGTTCGATATATTCCTCCTTTTAACGCAAACACAAATTTACTGGGAATTCAGCAAATTTTTTAAACTTATAAAGTTTAAAGATTTGCAAAAACTTTAGTTTTTTTTTTTAATTTAAAATTGTTGCACTATTTTACTTTTTACAATATTATTCTTACAATTATTTTTTTAAACTATAAAATGTTTCTATTTTGAACTTTTAACTCTATGAAAGTTGTAGTGAAACTGATAAGAAAATAATCGAAAAGTTCAATATTTATAGGCCAAAGAGATGGTTAAACAATCATTTTAAAACTAGTAGTAGGAGAAAGTTATTGGTCATGTTGGTAAATATAATGATAGTATGAATGCTAAAGACGATGTTAAACATGATTATAATGTCAATAGAAGTATTAGTGTAACAGTTGGAAAGAAACATGTAGGAGACCATGACAGTTTAGAAAATATTATTGTTGTTATAAGCTATAGACAGATGTTGTACTTGTTTTCATTTATTTGAAATTAATTTGTTAAAAGAGTCAATCACATCTTTTGTAGGTTGGTATCGAAAAATAAGTAGACGTTTTGATGTTGACATGCATATTAAAGGAACTGCCTTTTAAAGACTCATTTGTAAGAATACTTTTCAATCGATACGTATTAATATACTTAACATCCGATTGAAAGTCTTGACCTCAGTATAGTTTGTGAAAAAAAATCTTTTTGAAATGGGTCTCTCTCGCTTCTTATCGAAATAAGTGTCAAAATTGTAGTAATTTTTAGATTATACAGAAAAATATTTAAAAGAATTGTTTGGCATTTGATTTGGTCTATTTTAGATTTTTTTAGATTATTTTAGAATTTATATATACCTTCTAATGCACTAAAACTAATTTTTCGTACATAATATACTCCAAAAAAAATTTTGTATTATTTTTCCTGCTATAAGCTCAAAATTACGGAATTTTTGAGACTCATTTTGAAAAGATTGCAGAAACGATTTTTTAATCACTGGTAGGGAACTAAGGATCTTTCAAAAAAAATATATCGTTGATAGGTATTCTTACAAAAAAATGGTCCACGGGACACCCTAATATTAATATAGAAACATTGGAAAATTTTACAAAAAAATTTGATTCTGAAAATAAGATCGTAAACAGGGATGGAATTTAGCACTGTTGTACTGTATTCAATACTTTTTGACATTGCATAGGCACAGATTAGTCAATGGAGTCATCAGAATTATAGTCAATGACCTAGTTCAGAGAATAGTCCACTTAGTAGTCAATATATGTACTAGTTAGTCTTCAGAATAGTCAATTATCTACATAGTTCAGAGAATAGTCTACATATTAATAAATATACTAGTCTTCAGGCTAGTCCATAAACTAGTTAATAGACTAGTCACTGGCGTAATTCTGATAATAGTTAGTGAACTAGTTGAGAGAATAGTCCACATAGTAGTCAATATACTATTCCTCAGGCTAGTCTTCAGAAGGGTCAATGAAATAAGTACGAGACTAGTCCGCAGACTCGTTCACTTACAAGTCCACAGTCAGATTATGCAGTAGAATAGTCCATAGACTAGTCTATAGACAAGTCTTCAGAATAGTCAATAAGCTATACTTGAAAATAGCCAAAGGAGTAATTCAGAATAATACACATAGTACTCATCCGAATAGTTTATTAACAAGTCAAGAGACTAGTCAATGGTCTAGAGACTAGTCCGCAAACTAGTTCACTTAGAAGTCCATTTACTTGTCCACAGACTGACTAGTCAGTAGAATTGTACATAGACTAATTTATATATTAGTCCATATACTAGTCAATAGAATAAACATCAGTAGACTATTCCATATACTAAATTAGTCTATATATTAGTACACAGAGAAGTCAACAGACTACTCAAGAAACTAGTTAAAGAAAGTATCAACATTACATTTTATGACTAGTCCACAGAATAATCCATAGACTAGTCCATAGGCTAGACCATAGAGTAGTCCATATAATATTTCGTAAACCATTCAACAGATTAATAAACATTTTATAACTTCGAACACACAAAATAAATCCGAATACAACTCTTATTCCTAAAAAGGTTCAAAATTTTAAGTGCCTGGTATGTAAAAGTACTAAAAATAATATTATACTATATTCATCCATATACCTTTTTTACTTCTTATTTTGAGGCCCACCTAATGAATGTAAATTTCTACATTCATATCGATAAGAATGTATAATTTAATAGTAAATAAGATTTGTGTATACCGTACAATAGATTTATGATTCTTGAAGTAATAAATTAAAAGAAAATATTTAGAAGAGAAGTATTTCGAATATATCATATGATTGCTCAACTTTTTTATTATTAGACCCTGATTATTGAAAAATCCTTAAAATGACTTAAAATTTAAATGTATAACTTCATCTTCAATCATCACAAACTTATGAACAAATTTAATTTACCCTTTAAAAGTGTAACTAAACAAATTGATATAAAATGCAAATCTACAATTATAATAAATCTAGAACAACAGCATGATGATAAGTGACAATTTTTTTCTAGTTGGTATATGGCCTGTGAAAGTGTGCGTCAAAGTACTACAGAAAAAAAAAACAATAAAAACAATGCTAGAAGCACTAAAGTATAGTGTTAAACGCTGCAGGATATAACAACAAATTTTTCTCTATTAATTCTCCTTAAAAACAAGAACAAAAACTCAAACCAATATTATTGTTAGCACTTACAAATACCCTAACTAAGAGGTAACTGCAGCTTATAGATTTGTTGTTTATGTGTGTAAATGTATAAGTCTACAAATAAATATATTTATTTTGCAGTTTACTCAAGTAAAATCATGCTGAGATAGACAAGTCAGCACACTCCCTTCCTGCAAAATGTTTTATTTAACAATCATCACCTTCCATCGAACATCAACATTTTTACTCTTTTATATGCAAATATTGGCTACAACATGCCCCCAGAAAACAAATGATTCCGTTCTTATTGTGTGGACAAAAAGGCTCTCACCGACTCAAAGTTATTTGACTTTAGGGGTGGGTTTTGTTGGTGGTCCTACAATCGAATGTTACAAATCAATCAATCTTCCTTAAAACAATGTGACAAATGTCACTGTTGTTTTTTTTTTTTTTTGTATTTTATCATTTGTTATCTCAACAACAAAATGGATTCAATAAGTGTGGGATTGGATTAACAGCTACATGAAATTTCATACTCCTCATGTATTTAACGTAAAATTATCCAAACACATAGATACACACTTGCATATGTGAGGTATGAATACAATGGTAAAACACTAACAACATGTTGAGTTCCTTTATAAGCTACTAAATGGATTGTGAGAAATCAGTAACGTTGATTTTTAGAAGGGGTTGTCTTTTTGTAATTTAATCTGTAATTTAATCCCAGCAAAAAGTTACATTGAAAAGTAATGAGTTTGAGCTGCTTATTCATTAGCATTTTAAATTATTATTTTAATACGATGATGACATTGGATACAAGTATTTAACACTTTCGCTTACACATAACTACATAAGTAATTACTTACAAATAGGGAGTTAAAAAGTTGTTTTGTGAACTTGGGACTCTAGAGCTGTGCAAATAAAATGGCAAAACTCAAAATATAGTACTTACGTAACTTATTATATGTATGTCATTATAAGATTACTTAAAAGTAATGCATACGGTATATAGAGGTCATTGAATAATAAGCCAAGTCATTACTGAGTTTTTTCTAGATTATTTTGAAATTAAAAAGCGACATTTTTACTATATATGTTCAAAAATTGAGAATGTATGTAAATGGGTATTCATAAAGTACCTCAATAGGACTAATTTTGAAACTGATTCGTCAGGTTATAATTATCATAATTTGGAAAATACAATATCCGCTTTATTCATAACAATTTATCCAAGTTTTATAGAACAAATCATGTATGAAAAATTGTCTTATAAACCTTTGATAATTTTTTATAAAAAAGACCTTAAATCTTTATTAAAATTATTTTAAAACCATTTTCTTAACTTAAAAAATATAGAAAAATACAAAATCTTACCATAATTAATCCTTTTAGGAAATAATCAAAAATCTTACCTGCAAGTAAAAAAAATTAATAATATGTAAGCTTATTTCAAATATTTTTATATAATTATATTAAAAATAAATCTTTATTAATTTTGCTCTTTTCATCATTCCCATTGACTTTCCCTTGTCCAAAAAGTCAAACTCATGTATATTACCGCCTCTGACCGTTTTTCCCAACATATATGTATGTATTTTATGTAAAGCCATATTGTTCTCTATATTTAATGATAGATTTAGAGTTAAAGTCAGAATGCGAAAAAAATAAAGGAAATGGGGAAATCAAGTATTTTTCCTAAATTATCGTATAATTTATTATTGTATTAACACCCAGTAGCATGACAATGTTTATTTGTTAATTTAATATAAATAAATATATAAAATAATTAGGGTGAACAGTATAATAATATAATATAGAAAATAAACTAGTTATAAAAAAAAACTGTATAGAACTGTATGTGCAAAATTTCATTAAAATATCTTGAAAATTGAGTTCTGTAATTCGATGCAAAGTTTGCATGGACGGACGGACGGACATTGTTAAATCCTTTCTGAGTCGATTGGTATACTTAAATGTGGATATAGAGCAACTATTTCTATGCAAAAATAATATAAGTAGTACAAAACCATATACAGAATAGAGTTTGAAAAAAGTTAAAAAAAGGACTTCTAAAAGATGTCTAAACCAAATCTCCAAATTTCTTTTTATAGAGCAGTCTAATACATGTACATATGTATATTAGAGTTTCCCGAAGAACCGCCTTTTTATGAACCTCATATTGTATTTAGATCAATCGTTGGTAAAGAACCTAAGTTCTTTTTTTTTATTTTTCATATTTAGTACATTAATAAGCATAGCTTCAGAGCTATTCCTACAAAAAAGTGGTCCATGGGACACCCTAATGTACATCAACAACATTTAAAACATTTCATATATAAAAACACAAAAATGTTAGCAATGTATTTGTATCTACAATTATATATACATACAAACATTTGAGCTCCTAATTGTGTGTGTTTTGTCCAACCAAGAATAGAAAGGATTTTAGTTTTATTTCATCCGGCATACGATTATATTCATGTGTGTGTATAGAAAGTACGTGTGTGTGTTTGTCTACTTTAATGAAAGTAT